CTTTCGTGGGCAAAGACCCACTTCGTCACATGCATCTGACGAAGTGGGTCTTTGCCCACGAAAGCTTATGCTCCTACACTTCAGTTAGTCTATAAGGTGCCACAGGACTCCTCGTCGCTTTTATAAAAGCATTGTCTCCTCCTGCATTTTGTTTCACTTTCCTGTAATGTCTGTGAGCAACACCACTTCTTTTCTCTCATGTTTGGAACAGCAGCTCAAAGGCTGCTGTTGGATTTTCCCTTCATAGGTGTTTCCCAAGCAAATGTTCTCTGTCTTTTAGTTTTGGGGCATACTAAGATGCTGGAGTTTCCCATGAATGTCCTTTGATGTCATGTTGCCAAAGGAACATATTCCCTGCCCAAGGTTCCTATATCCCCTGCTGTCACCTTGACTGTGTGTGCAATGGCAGATCCTCTGTGATAAAATGACTTTGTTCCTTCCCATTTTGATGGTGTGTTTCTTAAGTCTTCCAGCATTTCTAACTTCTGGAAAAACATGGAACTGAGCAACAGGCTCCATGTCCTGAGCTCAGTGTATGAACAGGGCTCCAGCTGCAAAAATTCTGCAGCAAAGGACTCCTCCTTTCCTTGGGCTCTGTAATACTCTGTTGTGTACTCAGTGGAACACTGTCAATGGATAGTTTGCAAAGGAGCAGTGCATAGGAATCCTCTATCAGCCCCAGGCAGATGTCAGGTTAATAGGACTATACAGGTGTCTGCAGCTGCTGGGCCTGAATATGATCTGGTAGGCCCAGAACTGGAGCCACAACCTGGGTAAGAAGCAGGGGAAATGTTCCCAGATTATATACATTGTGAGAGAATCACAAAACCAGGAGAAAGTTTCCACTACAGTGAAGAAGTGCTCTGGGGTCAGGCACAGACGGGGAAGCTACTCAGCTGAGTATTATCATAGAATCATAGAGCTGGAAGAGACCTCAGGAAGTCATCAAGTCCAGCCCCCTGCCCAAGGTAGGACCAATCCCATCTAAATCAACCCAGCCAGGGCTTGTCAAGCCAAGACTTAAAAACCTCCCTCAGTACCCTCAGATGCATTAAATCCAGGCCCATGGATTTGTGTATGTTTAGGTTTTTTAAATAGTTCCTAACTTGTTCTTTCCCCACCAAGGGCTGTCCACCTCTTTCCCATACTGCATTGCCTACTGCCTAGTGTCTGGGAGCTGGCCTTGTCCGTGAAGACAGAGGCAAAGAAGGCATGGAGCACTTCTCAGCTTTTCCCACATCATCTGTCACTAGGTTACCTCCATCATCCAGTAAGGGCCCCACACCCTCTCTGATCACCCTCTTACTGCTAATATGGCTGTAGAAACCTTTCTTGTTATCCTTCACATTCCTTGCTAGCTGCAATTCCAATTGTGCTTTCAGCTTCCTGATAACTCCCCTGCATTCTCGAACAATATATTTATACTCCTCCCTTGTTATCTGTCCAAGTTTCCACTTCTTGTAAGCTTCCTTTTTGTGTTTAAGCTCACCAAGGATGTCCCCAGTAAGCCAATCTAGTCGCCTACCATATTTGCTTTTCTTGCTGCGCATCGGGATGGTTTCTTCCTGTGCCTTTAATAAGGCTTCTTTAAAATATGGCCAGCTCTCCCAGACTCCTTTCCCCTTCATGTAAGCATCCCAGGGAATCCTGCCCATGAGTTCTCTGAGGGAGTCAAAGTCTGCTCTTCTGAAGTCCAGGGTGTGTATTTTGCTACTCTCCTTTCTTCCTTTGGTCAGGATCCTGAAATCTACCGTCTCATGATCACTGCTTCCCAGGTTGTCACCTATCTCTTCTTCCTCCTACTAGTTCCTCCCTGTTTGTGAGCAGCAGGTCAAGCTGTGCATTGCCCCTGGTCGGTTCCTTCAGCACTTGTACCAAGAAGTTATCCCCAACATTCTCCAAAAGCTTCCTGGATTGTCTGTGTCCTGCTGTATTTGTCTCCCAGCAGCTGTCAGGGTGATTAAAGTCCCCCATGAAAATCAGGGCCTGCGATATGGAAGCTTCTCTCAGTTGTCCAAAGAAAACCTGGTCTACCATCTTCTCCAGTGACGGACTGTGCCTTTGTCTCCCCCTGCCATCACCTCTTTCCTACACTCATCATCCCCTCTCAAGCCTGCAGAACGCCCCTTGCTTG